TTTTTTTTTTTTTTTTTTTGCTGTACGCGGGCCTCTCACTGTTGTGGCCTCTCCCATTGCGGAGCACAGTCTCCGGATGCGCAGGCCCAGCGGCCATGGCTCACGGGCCCAGCCGCTCCGTGGCATGTGGGATCTTCCCGGACCAGGGCACGAACCCGTGTCCTCTGCATCGGCAGGCGGACTCTCAACCACTGTGCCATCAGGGAAGCCCCTATTGGAGAATTTTGAGCAGGGGAGAGATGTGAGCTGATTTATATTTTTAATAAGATTGCTTTGGCTGTGTACAGAGGATGGATTTTAGAGAGGTAAGATCAAAGCAGAGACACAGTGTAATAGAACAAATGAGATGTGGTGGTGGGTTTGACCTGAGTTTTAGGAGTGAACAGAATGGTAAGTGGTTGAATTTGGTATATATTGTCAAGGTAAAGTTGACATTGGTTGTTCATATGTATTGGATCATTGCTAGTTTTTTTTTTGTTTTTGTTTTTATTTTCTTGAGCAACTTGGTGCCATTTACTCATAGGAAGAAGACTTGGGGAGGATCAGAATGGGGGATAGCGGGAAATCAGTAGCTTTATTTTGGCCATGTAAGTTTGAGATGCTTAGAAGACATGTGAGAAGCTGGGTGTAAATTATTGGAGCTCCGGGGAACAGTTGAGACCATAGTGTCAACTCTGAGTATTCCTGACATCCCCAGGAACAATAGTGCATTTCTTCTTCTGTGTTCTCATAGTATCTTTTATCCCAGGGATATTTTTTTCATAACAGTTGTTGTGTTGCTTTGGTGGTTTGTGCCTGTCTTTTCCCACAGTCTGGAATTTTGTTGTATTTCTCTCTGTGGTCTCAGTTTCCAGTACATAATAGGTAGTCAATAAATGTTTGATGAATAAATCATGTTTATTTCCCCTGTCACCACATTGGGTCAGTTTTACCTGTCAGATGTCTAACAAATCTCTTTCTTTCTTTCTCTCCTCAGTGTCTTAGTGCTGATCCTTATCATCCCTCATATAATTAGTATTAACATTAATACCTTATTTGAAAATGAGTTCCACATAATGTTTATTTGAGAGGTAGATGGTTTCTGGAATTGAATCAGTGGTTTGGATATATCAGAGTCAAGGTGTCTGAATTCTCTTGGCCTTTGCCTCATAGGAAGGAGAGTGATGCTGAATTTAGACTGAACAGGGACAGTAGAATTTAAATAGGGCCTAAGATATAGTGATGTTATTTAAGTATAGGGCAACTTGAACTTTATTTAAATTTAATAAATTAATGACGATTTTTAAGATAGGAAGGTGAGTATAAAAGCAAAAGAGCATAAAGAAGATTTTCACCAGTCTAAAGGAATATGACTGGACCGTACTTCAGAGGATCTGACAGGAGCACAAAGGATGGGCAAATATGGGAGAAATTATGAAGTAAGTAGATAACTGGTTTGAAAGTGAACGTAAAGAGTGAGAAGAGGGATTAAGGAGACAGATGACTGACGTCAGGCTTCTGGGTATACTGAATTCTTCAAGGCCTTTCTTGAACTCTGAAACATGGAGTCTTAACTGAGTATCTTGGACTTACTTATAATGATCTGAGGGAATTTATGAAAGTCCTTAAGAGTTATAGTTTATTGGACTTTTAAGTGACATTAATTTGAACTTTTTACTAGTTGGGAACATTTTGGTCCCATAATCCATCTTTGGTGCCTTTCACCTAATGCTGTTCTAAAATAAGTTTAATTTTATTATATACTGGGCAACGAAGCACTCTTCATATTTAATTTCAAATGAAATGTTATGAATTTATTTTAACATCTTTACTGTGTTAGGTTTGAGTGTTCCATTGAATTAAACAAGCTAATAACCCTTTTTTTTAAGGTACAGCAGGGAAGAACTGGAAATTCAGAGAAGGAAACAGCGCTTCCATCTACAAAAGCTGAGTTTACTTCTCCTCCTTCTTTGTTCAAGACTGGACTCCCACCAAGCAGGTTAGTGAGATATTGATGATTCAGTTTATTGAAGGCATCGGTATCTTCACCTTTAGTGCTATATGAAGTATAAAAACTCTGAATGATATACCAAAAAACTGGAACATTCTACTTGGTTTTAGTACAAAATGAATTCTTCGTGAAAAACTCTTCTGGGTGCTATTTCATCTAAAAAAATCTAGGTAAGCAAGAAATGAACAGTGGAATATAGTTACATGTATATATAAAGAAACAACAGTCTCACATTCAGGACAGGTGGTGACAGCAAAGGTTGCACTGTTTTCTGTGCTTATTATTCTTACATAAAGAATTATTGAACTTCCTAAATCTGGATATACTGGCCTAAAGATGTTTCACTGATTTTAGTAAAAGAGGTTGTAAAAATTTCAGCCTGAGAAATTTTTCAAATTAAAACCATTTTCTTTTCTTTCTTTGGTTTGTTGTGATAATACCTAACTTTGAGTTCTACAGGGTACCAACTGTAAGAGGCAAAGATGTTGGCAAATGTCCTTTTAACTTAAACATAACAAGTGATTAGCCCATTACCAGGAAAATGGTAAAGGATAAGCCAAGACTAGGGAAGTTTTATGTCAGCAGTTTAATCTTGGGTTAAAGATGACTTAAACCAGTTATTTCTCTGAGCCTGAAACAAGTCAGTAACTCAACTATTACGAGTTCTCAGCCAGATCATTTATCTTTTGTGTTACTTACTTAAATTTATTTTATGTAGTTTACTGATTTTGTCATTCTGATATTTCATACTATATGAATGCAGAAAGAAAACTTGTAATTTAGCCCTAAAACAAAGATTTTTGAAACTTTCAGCCAAAATTCAGTATCATAAAGCCATCTCAGATTTTGACTGTCTCTTCTTAACAGTTTCTAGTCATGCATATATACACTACCAAATGTAAAATAGGTAGCGAGTGGAAAGCAGCTGCATAGCACAGGGAGATCAGCTCGGTGCTTTGTGACCACCTAGAGGGGTGGGATAGGGAGGGTGGGAGGGAGACGTAAGAGGGAGGGGATATGGGGATATATGTATACATATAACTGATTCACTTTGTTATACAGCAGAAACTATAATACAGCATTGTAAAGCAATTATACTCCAATAAAGATGTTTAAAAAAAAAAACATAAGGGGAAAAATGACTAAAACAAAAAACAGAAAAACAATTACTAGTCATGGACTTTTCCAAATAAGGTTTTTTAAACCAAATGCAATCTCATAAAAGTGTTTGTCTAAGAAGTTATGATAGCTGAGGAATATTGATTCTTTTAATTTGTAGTATTCTCTTTTTTTTTTTTCATATTTTAAAAGAGGCCAACCTTCATTCATTGAGTTTATGGTGTTCTACATTCTAGAATGATATTAAGAGCTTGGACTCTAGAGCCAGACTTCTGGCTCAAATTCTAGCTCTGTTACTTACTAGCTGTGAATTACACTAGCTGTGTATTACTAGCTGGTGTGTATTGGGCACATCGCCCAATCTTCTTGTTCCTTCATTTCTTAATCTATAAAATACAGTAATAATACTACATAATGCCCTCACTGGATAGTTATGTATATTAAATGGATTAATTTATGTAAGGTGTTTAGCACAGTGGTACATACATAATAAATATTCTATGGATGTTTGTTATTATCATAATTAAACTAATTGAACTTTTAAAAATCAATAGCAGTTTTTCTGTGTTTTGCCCATTTCCACCCCCTCCCCTCTTTTTTAAAAATTTGGGCCAGATTATGTAGGACATTGTGCCATTATATAAGTGTTTTGGCTTTCCCTGTAAGTGAAATATATGGGGAGTCACCATCAGATTTTGAGCAGAGGAATGAAATAATCTGATTTAGGTTTTTAAAGTCTCAATTTAACTGCTTTATTAAGCTCAGACTACAGAGGAATTAAGGGCAGTAATGGGGAGGCCAGTTAGGAGGCTATAACAATTATCTAGACAAGAAATAATGGTAACTTAGACCACGGTGGTAGTGGTGCAGATGGTGAGACGCAGTCAGATACTGGACACATTTCAAAAGACACAAAAGATCTTTTATATCTGAGGCAGAAAAGACTATAGGAGGAATGATTTTTGGAGGGAGGAGACCAAAAGTTCAGTTTCGAACCTGATAAAATTGAGATGCCTACTAGTTATACAAGTGGAATATTTGCATGGGAAGTGGATAAATAGATCTGGAGTAAGGGGAAAGGTATGGACTGGAGGTACAAATCTGGGAGTGATCAGTGTTTAAATAGTACTTAAATGAATCTGTGAAATTGAATTAGATTGTAAATGAGGTAAGTATTACTAGAGAAGTAGTAAGAAGACAGAGCCTTGAGGCACTTCCATGCAGGTCAGAAAAATAAGGATAGAACGGTAAGAGGAGACAAGTAGAGAAAAATGACTAATGAAATAGGAGGAAAACCCAGTGTATATTTTGAAAAGGGTGTGTTTCAAAATAGGAAGAGTGTTTTAACTATCAAATAATATTGATTGGCCAAGAAGAAGAGGACTGGGAATGACTTGAATTTTAAATGCAAAGGTTGTGGTGATTCTGACCAGGACGTTTTCAGTGGTATAAGGTGAAGATTTAAAAAAAGACTTTGTGGAACGGATTCAAGAGAGAATAGGAGGAAAGGAATTAGAATGAACAATTTTTTGAGTTTTTTTCTTTTTTTTTTCTTTTCTCTCTTTTGAGGGGGCAGAGAAATGGGACAGTCTGGAGGACAATCTGGAGGGAAATGTGGGGTCAGGAGGAGGGTTTTTTGCCAAAATGAAAGAAATTACAGCATGTTTTTATATTTATGAGAATGAGTTACTAGAGGGGAAAATTGATGATGCAAGAATTGAGAAGGGACAGTTGTTAGAGCAGTGTCCTAGCAGAAGGTCAGAGGGGGTGGGATGTAATAAGCAAGTGGAGGATTTACCCTTAAAGAGAAGCATGGACAATTCACTCATTGTAATAGGAGGAAGGGCAGGTGAAGGTAGGTGGGTGGTTAATGGTGATGGAAACAACTGAAAGTTCTCTTTCTGATTGCTTCAGTTTTTCCCAGCAGCATAGAATGCAGATTTATCTGGTGAAAGTGAGAATAGTGGAAGAGGGTGTTGAATGTTTGAGAGGAGAGGAGAAGGTCTGAAATAGTTATGTAGAGGTGTGTGAATAAACCTGGGGGAAAGGAGCAGGATTGCTAGGCAGTTACCTGGAGGGAAGTGTGGGGTGAAGAGATGGCTTTTCTTTTCCAGGTGGGAGAAATCACAGCATTTTTATATGCTGATGGGAATGAGCAGAGTGAAAAATTTATGACACGGGGAGAGACTGTACATTTCCAACTTTTCTTGAGGTTAGTGGCCAGAGGTTGAAAATGAAACAAGTCAGCTTGTTTGGGTGTGTTTGTCTTTCCCTTGTCAGGTATTCATGTGTTCATGAAGAGTAGCCAGAGTTGGATTTAGCAGGGGTTGAAGTTATACCAGGCAAATATGCCCAAGGGAGAGAGGGGCAAGGAAGGTGAGAGTGTACTTGAGAGAGTGATTATAATGATGGATCATGGATCTAAGGAGAGATGAAGGAGAGATGGATAAGGAGTGATGGGAGGACACTGGTGGATAAGGCACAGTAAGAAGGAAGTAAAAAAAAAAAAATGACAGAAATTAGCAGATTCATCACTTATGCTGAAAAGAATGGATAATTACCACCACAGTTTGTAGAAACAGACGCAGCATGTTAATACTCCCACTTTGGGATGCAGAGAACAGTACTCATTGCTTATTAGGAAAGTTTGTTTTCTGGACTCATCTTCGCTTGATCAAAAGGATACTTCTCAGCCACTGTGAAGTATTTCCCTAAATAAATATCTGTGTTTTATTCTTTATATTTATAAGTATTTCCATTTTATTCTTTGTATTTATGGAAATTAGGTGTTTTTAAAAGTAAAATTTTATTGACTTTAGGGAGAAGACAGTAATGTCATGTAAGTCATAATAGAGACTGTACAGCAAATATTTAGCAGTAATGAAGTGTACTACTGACCTAATCACTGTATTCCTATTGTTTAAAATCTTAGATGCCATATTAACATATAAATGGCTACTGGTATGTTTGCAAAGAAAAAAAAATTTTTAATGGTTCTTTGTACTTTATCAGTAGGAATGTTGGATTTCTAACTTTCTGTACTGCCCAGCAAATTGTTAATATTTGATATATCAGAATGTTTTTTTAATCTTTAAAAGTTTTCATATAGATCAATAAGAATATTACCATTACTACCAGAAGCCCCTGTTGTGCCCCCTTCATTTATTGTTTTCATTTTTTAATGTTTTATTTTGAAAAAAATTCAAACTTAGAAAGAGTTGCAAGAAAAGTACTAAAGTCTATACACTGTTCACTCAGATTCACCAGTTATTAACATTTTGCCATATTTGCTTTATAATTTCTCAAAAATATTTTTTTCCTGAACCATTTGAATACTAATTGTAGACATTGTGCCCTTTTACCCCTGAATACTTAAGCATATATTTCCTAGGAACAAAGACATTGTGTTCCGTAATTATAGGAAACAGTTAATCAATGTCAGAACATCTCATAATGAATCAGTACTTTAATATACAAGCCATAAATTTTGCTGATTATTTCAATAATATCTTTCATGGCAGTTCTTTTCTTTCCTCCTTGATTTAGGATTTAGTCCAGGATTATTCATTACAATTAACTCCTTTATCTCTTTATTCTTTTTTGATCTGGGACAGCTTCTTGAACATTCTTTGTATTTGTTGACATTGACTTGAAGAGTACAGTCTGGTTATTTTGTAAATCATCCTTCAGTCTGGGTTTGCTTGATGTTCCCACGTTATTAGATTCAGGCTTTGCTTTTGGGGCAGGAATACTACATAAGTAATGTGGTGTTCTCAGTGAATCAGCCTGTAGGTACATGATGTCAGTTTGTCCCGTTTTTAGTGGTGATAACTTTAATTACTTAGTCGTGGTGGTGTCCTTTGCGTTTCTGCAAAGTTACTGTATAAATAAGTAATCTGTGAGGAGACTGCATAAATATTCCGTTTGTCTTTGAACTTTCCATGAATTTTAATGTCCGTTTTTGATTTAGTCAATTATTACTGTAATGACTGAAAATAGTCATTGTCTAACTCTGTTATTCCTGTTACATTTATTAGTTGGCATTCTACTTTAAAAATGAGCTTTTCCACCTCCCTTACCTACTTATTTATTGTTAGACTCATTAATTTTTATTTTATGTGTGAGAGAGTTTGTGTGTGTGGCTTATAAATGGGGTATATAAACTATATATATACACATACACACACATGTATATGTATACACACATATATATGTACTGTAATTCATGTTGATGCTCAAATTGTTCCAGATTTGGTCCATGGGAGCCTCTTCAGACTGGCTCCTCTGACCTTTTGACATGTCCCCATCATCTTTTTTTGAGGATTTCTTTATTTTCTGATGTTTCAGTCTTATGTTGTACTTTCCCTGCCCCTTCCCTAGAAGCAGCCATTTCTTGAAGGAATCCTGATGCTTTTTAGTGGCAAATGGTAATTAGAAACCACGGTCTCGGCAATAGTTACGCTCATTGCTGTTGGGGTGTCACTATTTCTAGGTCTTTTCAGCACTCAGAGCTAGGAAAAAGCAAGCAATTTTAATGTGAAATTGCCATATATATGTTATTTTCATAAATTTTTTTTTTTTTTTTTTTTTTTTTTTTTTTTTTTTTTTTTTTTTTTTGCGTTATGTGGGCCTCTCACTGTCGTGGCCTCTCTCGTTGCGGAGCACAGGCTCCGGACATGCTGGCTCAGCGGCCATGGCTCACGGGCCCAGCCGCTCCGCGGCATGTGGGATCTTCCTGGACCAGGGCACGAACCCGTGTCCCCTGCATCGGCAGGCGGACTCTCAACCACTGCGCCACCAGGGAAGCCCAATTTTTATAAAATTTTAATCATATAGTCACATTTCTTCTACTTCTAGCTTGACACCACAGGTTCTACTCCTCTTTCTCTATTTTGTATTGTATCTTCCTTTTTCCCACAGTGAGAACCTAGTTCCAACAAGTTCAGTATATACACTCATTTGCTTAATACTGAAATACACACAAAATAGATTAGAACTGTGCACCTACCATTACAAAAAACAAACCTACTAAATAGAGTTCAAGATTTCTTTCAATTTTTCTTTTTCTTAGATTGAGGGTATATAGTCAAAATATTGTGTTCAAAAATTTCCTTCAGAGTGGTTATATGTATTAGTCACTTAAAAGATAATTTGATCCATTGTTTCTGTTTCTTTTCAGTACTAGCATTTCTTTTCCTCCATGCTTATTGACTTACTTTCTACATATCTAGAACATTTAACATAGTTCCAAAGGCAAGACTATGCAAAAGTATACTCAGATTAGTCATTCTTTTTGCAATTTTTTTCACTCCTGTCAATAAACAATTTCATTTCATCTAGTTACTGGCTTGTTCTTCCTGTGTTGTTTTTTTTTTTACATAAATAAGCAGCTACATAAACATGTTTTTCCTATTACTTTGAAAGAGTGTCTTATTACTCCTTTAAAGGATTGGCAAGAGTGTATATAGGTGAACACCAGGGATAAAATTAACTTTTTTTAGAATTTTACTTTGAAAGACTTTAATTATTCTGAAATTGAATTTTAATGAAATATATATTTAATATAGGCTTTTATGAAACACAGAATGTTGCTGTTAACTGGTTACACTAACAATATTTCTATTATTGAAGAATTAGGGAAAGAAATACCAACATTTCAAATAAGGTTTTATGAAACTGCAGAAATTAATGTTATTAATTTGTAAAAGCACTGAAATTTATTTCTGGATAATATATATAACCTGAAGTAAGCCTTTGGTTCTTTTCTCATTTCTGCATTTTGACATCATACTGTCTATGTTGAGAAGTATTTCTAAAAATATTCTAGAATTAATAAAATGTTGATAACAAAGACATCTATATTTGAATACCACTAGCAGTCTTAGTTCCACCACAAGTATTTCATATAACTTGAAGAGAATGATACTATCAGAACATGCTAAAGGACTTTAGAAAAAGCATGTCAAGGAAAAAAGAAACAGATCAAGGGGGGTCAGAGACAACAGTATGTAAGAAAAAACATAGAAAATTTATCTCACCAGAAACAGCACCTCTTCTCAGTCTCAGACAAGTACTGCCTCCAAAAAAGCCAATTCAAGCGTTGGGAAGTGGCAGGATCAATATGGGAGGGCCGAATCACCTGATCTAAGGTAAGGCTATTTTTAAACATTGGATACTCCTGATGTTTAGGTCATCAGTGTTGTTTTATCTCATTAGAAAGATAATAAATTTTGACTAGGCTGTACCATTTTCCCCCCTGAATTACACTGTTTCAGTATAGAATTGAGGGTTTTTACACTTACCTTATGAATCAGCCCTTATCACCTCATGTCTCGCCCCTTGTCTCTCTAGCTTTTTATAACATAAATTGCCTGGAACCATGCTAATGGGTGCTCAATAAATGTTTTCCTTCCCTTTGCTGCAGGTTTAATTTTCCTTTCTCATATCATACCCTATTCAAAAACCCCTGGGTGCTTTTCAGTATCTGGAATAAAATTTAGCTCTCTGAGCCCGTCTTCAGGACCTATAAAATTGGACGCCATTGAATCTTTCCAATCTTTATTTTCCAACTACAGTGCATAAACCTGCCATTCTATTAAGTGGGTCTAGGAAGTACTATCTCCCTTATTGTTGCTATGCTTTTTATTCATAATCCACCCTCCATAGAATTTTGGTTTGTGTTCTAAATCTTAAATTTACAAAGCACACAAACCTTGGATGGATATTGTAAACTGAGCCTGTGAAAATGGGAATAATAATTTCTATCCTAAGTGATGTAATGAGAAGCAAGTGTGTTAGGGTATGAAAATGTATTGCCAACAATAAGCAGTTATACTTTGCTTGACTAGAAATACAGACTAAGATACCTTCTTAATTTATCATTTGAAGTTTTAAATAAGGTAATAGTATATGGGAGTGTATTTTGTTTGTTTTTGTTGGTAAAGAATTTAAAGCTTTCTTCCTGGGCAGCTTGATGCTGTATTAATGTGTGTTTTGTTTTTTATGTATTTTTATTTTTGGCTGCGCTGGGTCTTTGTTGCTACGTGGGCTTTCTCTAGTTGTGGTGAGCGCGGGCTACTCTTCGTTGCAGTGTGCGGGCTTCTCATTGCGGTGGCTTCTCTTGTTGCGAAGCTCGGGCTCTAGGTGTGCTGGCTTCAGTAGTTGTGGCTCGCGGGCTCTAGAGTGCAGGCTCGGTAGTTGTGGTGCACAGGCTTAGTTGCTCCCCGGCATGTGGGATCTTCCCGAAACAGGGCTCGAACCCGTGTCCCCTGCATTGGCAGGCAGATGCTTAACCACTACGCCACCAGGGAAGTCCCATGCTGCTATTACTTTAACATCTGAAATTTCTTTTATATAAACCATTTGACTTATAATTTTTATCTTAAAATAGTTATGCTTTTGATATAACAGCTTATTTCTTGAAATAAATTGGCCATTTTATAAGGAAAATATTAGTTTTTAAATCTGAAAGTGATACATTTCAGTACTTAGACTATATAACTTCCCCCTTGCTACCCGCCCCCCCGCCCCCCTGTGCCCCAAAAGATGGTTTGGTAACTCAGAAAACTCCCTATTCTGATTTTGTGATTAGTCTCAGGGAGTATAGGTAGTAGGAAATTTGACACTGTATTTTCAGTGTGTATTTTGTGCTTTTGAAAATTAAAAAGAAGAAACAACTGTAGATGAAAGCTACATACACTTTTTTATAGCATAAGATAAAAAATGAGATTCCAGCTCTTGTAATTAATGTAACTGAGAAATGGGGAGTTTTTTTTAAAGCATTCCTTAAGTCTCTTTGTAAAGAACGATTAAATGATGGTTGAGATGCTTTTCATAAATTACTGTATTTGGAGACCCAGACTTTTCTCACCCTGTTACTCTTAATTTATATATTATAGTGTTTTTTAAATCTTTAACTATAGTATATAACAATAACATTTTATTGGTGCAAGTTTGTTTTGTACAGATTTGTAACTCTTGTAAAGCGAATTAGTGAGAAGAATGAAGTAGTTTAAATGAACACAGAAAATTGGAATAGGCAGTATGGATGATTGCTATAACCTTATGCCAGTGTCCAATTTATTTCTGTATTTTGTTTTCATTTTACAATCTTAAACTATGCTCCTTTTAGGTAATTAGTTGCAAATTCTAGGTTGTTTTATTAAGCTTGTTTTCCAATATCAGAATACTTTTAAACTAACCCAGACTCTTGAAGGAGGAATGGTAAAAATTGCTTTACAATGTATAATCACTAAAATATTTAAACCTGCTCGCATGTTTTATAATAGACAAACAAAACTTAAAAGTGGATGTTAAATGAACATTAAATCTAAGGTTGACTCCCTCATTTGTTCTTGCTGCTTACTATTATGTCTTGATGAAATCGTTTACTGAAAAAACGTACCTGTACTTCATAGCATTTGAGCACTCTGCATGCATGTTGCTATATTGTGTAGCTTGTAAGATTTTATGTGATTGGACATGTGAAGGCCTTTTTTTTTAATTACCTGTAGAAACATATCTTTTCCTATCAGTGATACATTTAAAAAATGCAACTAAGCATAAATGTGGCTGGTAAAGCTTTATTCCAAGCTCTGCACAAAAGTAAGTAAACGTGGCTGCCCTAATAAACACAATTTATGTCCTCCAGTGAGTCAAATTTTAGCATATTTCACCTTTAAGTATTCAAGGTTTTTTGTTTGTTTTTAATATAGCTTAACAAGTAATGTGACATTTTAAAAATTCAGGACCCAGAAAATTAGCATGGAAAACATTCTGAGGGTAGGAGGGGGTTTGGAGTTGGTCATACCCAAGCCTGAATATTGACGTTGGCGTGGTACTTCACAAAGGAGCCTCTTTCCACATCTGTGAAAATGAAACTGATTGGACTTACACCTTACTTTCAGTGTACTTACGGATGAAATAATTTTTAAGCCTGTGAAACGCTATTGCAGGGCACCCACTAAAGTGTTAGTTCCCCTTGGATCTCTGCTCCCATCATAGGCTTTACCAGTCTCTTTGAATATGGTATGATAGGAAATTACATGTCCTGAAGACAGTTTTTTAATTCTGTGATTTTTTTGGGGGGGACGTGTATCACTTTTCTAGACAGAATTCTTTTTTATTAAGTCTCCACTTGAAAAATAGAATATAAGTATAGAAGCAGTACTGTCAGTCCACAGAACTCAAAAGATCAATATGAAAATATGTATGTAATGAAATCTTTACCATAATTGTTAAACCTTTTTAGATATGACTTTAAATTTATTGAGTAATAAAAACATTAATTTTTATTAACTACTTTAAGTTCTTACTAGAAGAGGACAAAATATAAGTCTCTTCTTTGGGCATGCCATTAGTTGTAGTTCTCAACTTTAGCTCTGTATTGGAGTTACATGGCGAGCTACAAAAAATATTGATGCTTAGGCCTGAGAGACTCAGATTTAACTATTTGGTGTGCACTCTGGGCATTGGGGGTCTTAAACGCTCTCTAGATGATTCTGATGTGCAGGCAAAGTTGAGAACCCCTAATCCATTAGGGGGGTGTGAAGTCAATTTGCTGGTCTCAGCCACCAAATATTTCTTGGTTTTATTTTGGGTTTTTTCCTGTGTTATTTGTAAATATTAATAAAATCATATTTGATATTAATGTTCTTTTTCCTTTATAGTAAGTGTAAGTAAGTACTGTTTTATGAAACATTTGTTTTTTTTTTATATAATGTATATACTGGATTGCTGTGCAAAATGTATTTCCTAAATAACTGTTTTGTGGTTTAAAAAGTTTAAAAACTACTGTACTCTATCATACTTTCACTTAAGATGGACTCAGAGGAGAAACTTGTTTCTTTTTACTTTCATCTTTAAAATGGGAATAATAATAGTTGCTACCTCTTAGGATTATTATGAGGAGTAAATCTATATAAAGTGCTTAGAACAGTGCTTTCCTAGCACCATAGTAGGTGTTCAATAAATACTAGCAATTGTTATTACCAAGAAAAGTAATCTTCAGAGCTAGTGCTTTGTTTTTCTCTTAATGCACATTAAAGACTTTTGTTATGAAGACTGTCCTTTATTTTGGCTGGTAAAAAATAAGCTCAGAGATAAATTTGTGGCCAAAGATTAATAACTAACCTTTTATCTGTTTTCCCTTGTTTCTGATTTTGTTACTCTTAGGATTTCTATTGTATCTATGTAAGCAGCTCTCATACCCTTTCTGGAACATTAGAATCCTCAAAATATGTCATTTTAATTTAATTCCACTAAAATTTCAGAGATGTTTTCATATTCATCTGTGCTAGGACAGGTCGAGGTTCTTGTGAATATTCACTGCCTGTATTAAATTGTAGATTAATGAAACTGTAGCTGTCCACTGTGGTTAGTTGCTCTCTCTTTCAGCTTTTTACTCTATGATTGAGTCCAGTATAGAGAAGGGAATCTTGATAACTGCATTAGCTGTCTGCCTTATTGAACAGTTTGTAAACCCAGATAAACCTGTGCTATGTAGAAATCCAGGTTACAGTAGATCCTCGTGGTGAAGCTCTACTAAATTTTTTTATTCATTGAAATAGAAAGTGGTACATCAGAAACTTTAATAATAATATGGTTCAATATTGTTTTCCATAATGTGACATCAGAATTGATGTTTAATTATTCACCTGTGTTAAATATTAAGTGATTTTTGTTACTTTGGTACATATGTGTCTGTTGTAAAATATTTCTAACAAAATTTCTGATTAAGGTAAATCAATTTGTGTGGTAAAAATGCTTGGGCAGGGAGCTGTTACTATTATGGACATGTAAGGAATTGCAATTTTCTAGACTCCCTCTAGTGATATACATTTATTAAGGCTAATTTCTCATTTGTATGTTTTTATTTTATTTATTTATTTTTAAAAATATTTATTTATGGCTGTGTTGGGTCTTCATTGCTGTGTGCAGGCTTTCTCCAGTTGGCGGTGAGCGGGGGGCCACTCCTCGCTGCGGTGCATGGGCCTCTCATTGTCGTGGCCTCTCGTTGCGAAGCATGGGCTCCAGGCGTGCAGGCCTCAGCAGTTGTGGCACGTGGGCTCAGCAGTTGTGGCTTGTGGGCGCCAGACCTCAGGCTCAGCAGTTGTGGCACACGGGCCCAGTTGCTCCGTGGCATGTGGGATCCTCCTGGGCCAGGGCTCGAACCCGTGTCTCCTGCATTGGCAGGCAGGTTCTTAACCACTTCACCACCAGGGAAGTCCTGTGTGTTTTAGAAACATAATATTTGCCATTTTGACTCTTTAGTGTTAGAGCAATCCATTTAAAGCTGAAAAAGGTAATCAGACATCTCTGAACATATTGAAGATAAACTTTAATAAATGAGTACTCCCATGTGTCCCAGAATTTTTGAAAACATAAGTCCTTAGAAATCCATGGTCAAAGGTTATAGAATCTTTCCCCTTTTGCTACTTTTAACAATTCAGAGAATTTATAATCCAAGTTGCAAATCCAAACAAATTTGTGAGAATTTGTTCTTGATGGGAATAAATTTAAGAAGATGGAGAGGGGAGAATCCAGCGATTGAGAATAGAAGAGAATGGAAAAGAAAACAGTAGGGTAGAAATAAGGATTTTTACTATGAAGTTTAGGTAGTAATAAATGGTGAGGGAAATCCTGGTTTCAGAATATACACCTTTATCGTTTGGGCTGTTGGATCTGAGATGTGTTTATATATGGGAGGGCTGATGGCACGTGCTTTGATATGAAATTATAGTGGTCATAGCTTTGTAAGTTTTAGGCAAATTTTAGGCAAAAATTAGAGCAATATTTGTTTTGTCAGAAGTATTTCAATTTTTCTAATGTGTGACTGTTAGGATAGTTTCCCAGCTGCACTGAAGGGTACAAGTTAAGTAAAATCACTTTTGATCTTTGAGATCATGAGGGAACCTAGGGGGTCAATGACCTAGGCATAAAATCAGAAAGGCTTGAACATTTTTTAAATGTATTAACAAATCTTAAGTGGCAGGATAGTAAGCAGGAATTAACTATGTAGTTGAAGACATTTCAAATGCCATTATAGACTTTTTGTAGGTCTGTCTTCTTGTTTTTGTGAGCATAAAATTATTTATGGGGCTTTTCAAGGTTTACTTGAAACATACCTTCAGTAGTTCTTGATTTCCAAAAGTCTTAAGTTTTTCAAAGGCTGCTTACCTTGCTAGAAGGCAGCATGGCTCAAGGGAAGGGGTCTGAGACTTTGGAATCAGGAAGACTCAGGTGTGAAAGTTAGTTTTGCCATGTAATTATTACTGAGGTCAGTGACATCACTCTGGCTCTAGCTTTATCATCTCTAACAAGTATATATTAATTTTTTAAGTTAAGGGTTATTCTGAGGTTTAGGTATAGAATGTAATCATTCAATAATTGGTAGCTGCTGTTATTAGTCATTTTAGGAACCTAACTTAGTGACCTGAAGGATCTATGGTACTTTGATTGTTTTACTTCTGTAAAATTTTAAAAACAGAATTGTTCAGAACTGAAATATAGATGAAGAGAAATTCATCTAATTTGCATCCACTTTTCATTGCCAGTTCCTACAAGTGACTTCTGTATCTTGTTAAGCATATATATTTTTATAAAGTTCTTAGCTACACGTAAAAATGGCTTTTAACGTTAGTTTCTTTTATTGTTAGATTTTCCTATTGAATTCGCAGCATTATTTTGTGATAGACTGTTTTTCCATCTACTCACAAACTTTAATGGTTGTAAATACAATTGGAGGTGGTGCTGGCATTTAAATATTTGAATTTTTCTAACTAAAGGCAAGTTATCAAGAATGAAAAAGTGGTTCCCTATTTATTTTTTCTAATTCTCAGAATAAATCACTAAGGAACATAACCTTTATGTATCAAAATGAGCATTATTTCTTTTCAAGCCGTTTTGAGGAATTTTTAAGATTTCTGTAATAGAACTATGATATGTGTTACAATTATAGTGGCCAAAAATTTTTATTTCCATTTGTTTAACATTTGCTACTGATTCAGTTCCACAAAAATAAATTCACTTGGAGACTATTAAAAAATAGTAAATTTTGAAGAAAACCTACAAAAATACTTAAAATTTAGCATTATGATCATTGTTTGGTGTGTTGGTCTTAGCTAATTAATAAAATTTAGTTTTTATGACTATGCAAAGTAGTGAGATCTAAGTGAAGTTTTTTCGATGTGTTGTGATCTGATTTTATTTTAAATTACATTGCAAAGGGTTTTAGCCTTTATTTCTCACCTAATATTTGTGTTATTGTCCAAACATCTAATTAGGTGAAACTGAAATGATTCAATTTTTATGTTACAGGAGATTACCTGGGGCAATTGATGTTATTGGTCAGACTATAACTATCAGCCGAGTAGAAGGAAGGCGACGGGCAAATGAAAACAGCAACATACAGGTTTAGTATTTTAAAAGTTATTATTTTTTTTAAATGAAGGATTATATCTGTGTTCTAATTGAATTTATTCATTCATAGCACTATGCTATATGTAAGGTGATTTAGGTACTACAAAGGGGATTTAAAATGTGGAATCAATCACCATGTTATTACGAAAGCTGTTCCATTTAAAATTTATAACCTTTGGATCTTTTTCAGTAAGATATTTTTTTCCTTGCTATAAATGTGATATATAGGCTCATTGGGCTAAAAAAGGAAAATATGGGAAAAGTTTAAAGAAGAAAATAAAACCGTCGATAGTTCTGCCATCTAAAGATAACCACTCTTAACATTTTGGTACATCTCTTCCTCATCACTAAGCAAGATTGGGATAGATACTACTATGGTTATATTTTTGGGTATCCTTTTTTTTTTCCATATAAAATTATCATTTGCATTTTCCCATATTCTTAAAAATATTTAACACCTCCTCATGATAGATTTATTGTATGGCTATACCATAATTTATTTAATGTGACATTTCTGGGTGAAGTAGATCTCTTTGTTTTTCAAGTGAAAGAATGAAAGAAGATGAGTTATTAGCTTGTATAATTCAAGTTTAAACTTTGAGTAATTGAGACTTTCAGCTATTAGCTTGACCACACTTTTTTTCATTATTTATTTTCTTTCTCTGAGTACTTTAAAAGATGTCCAGTGTTTTGATTCTTTATTACCTTCAGTAAATTATGTAAATGTTCTTTTTAGCACCTTTTAAGGTAAATTATTTCTAAAATGGAAGATAATCCTCTTTTTTACCCCCACCATTAAAATGTCATGCTTTCTTAAAATAATACTGCTTTCTACTTTAAGAACTAGCTTATCAGCATAAGCCTTACAAAAATTACTGTACTTAAATGTAGGAAAAGTTAATGAAAGGTTATATGTTTAAATGATACGCTTTAGCCAGCAAGGATTTGAAAAGTATACATTAAATATATAAAATCATGTTGCCTGTTTTTTCTAGTTTTCTCAAACAGAATCCGTTAGGGAGCTTGTCAAAAATTCAGATTTCTAGGTGCCACTCTCCTGTAGGTTCGGTTTCTGTCCCTTACCTGTTCACATAGATCAGTATTTTGTAAATACTTTTTAAGTATAAACCCTTGTTCTTAAAGTTACAAGGCTCACATGAAGAAGTTTTTTATGTATGTGGCTGCCTGTTAGTTGCACCCTATTGATGCATGCCTTATAGTCTCTTACTTTGCAACCTGATAATGACAGGCCTTGGTACAGTGAATATCTGGTTCTATTGCCATGTTAATTTCTTAATGCTAGTATCTATGACTAATGATTATATTGCCTTAATTTGAATACTTTAACTTTGGTTGAGTAACAAAGATAATACTCATTACATTTTATTTATGAAGTACTTAATTGTCTCGTTTAGAGTATTTTTAGAACAATTATTCCTTAAGAATTTTATTTGTAATGATTCAGTTTTGTCTAGGCTTTGAATATGAACATTTTAAAAAGTGTGTTTGAGAGTGAATACTCACATCTGTATAATATACACACACATCACACACATAGAAAAATTACTCCTGCTTCCCCAGAATATATGTAAGTGAATAAAACTTATTTCTTAGATTAAATGAGATTCATTTACTGAGTTTAATCTTAGATAAGAACATTTATTCATCTTTTTAATTAACTATGCTCTAATTTTAGGTCCTTTCTGAAAGATCTGCTACTGAAGTAGACAACAATTTTAGCAAACCACCGCCATTTTTCCCTCCAGGAGCTCCTCCCACTCACCTTCCACCTCCTCCATTTCTTCCACCTCCTCCCACTGTCAGCACTGCTCCACCTCTGATTCCACCACCAGGTAAATAGTAAATAAGACATTTGATTTTGAAAGAAAAATAACCTATGAGTGTTTTTAAAATTTTGAATTTAACAAGTAAAGTATGTATTTGAAAATAGCATCTTCATTGATTTCACTACATTAATCTTCATTGATTGCACTACATTAAAAGTAATAGAATATGAAATTGATTATGTAAAATCTTCAGTAGATTCACACTGAAACAGATGTATATGTGTCTTACTTTTTCAGTAAAGCAAAGAAGCAATGTACTAAAATAGGGAAGAGTGGACAGACACTAAAATTGTGATCCAAAAATATGATAGTGATCCCCAAATTAAAGTTGCTAGTTGTGTATGTATAAATTCACATTGAATCATATTAACTTGTTTTGAAAAAAAATTTAAAGATACTTTCAGAATGGTGTAGGTCAAAAAAATTACATCCTGTGAAGGGATTGAATTGAAAATCTCAGTCTGTCTGGTCATCTTTCTTTGTATACTGGTTTCCTTTTAGGAGACTGTTTCTGGGTGCCAGGTATCTGATATTTACTTCTACTACACAAAAGAGAAAATTAATGTCATTTTTTATCATATTCTTAGTCACTTTTGGTTATTTATTAAAAACTAGATCAGTGACAGTAGAAAAAAATTCACAAATAATTACCAAATTTTATACTTTCATCCTTTTGTCTGAAGACCTTTTTTATTTTATTCATGATAGGCTTTCAATATTTATATCCCTTAATCAATTTTTAATGAAACTAACAGGATTGATTGAGATAATAATTACTTTCTTCCTAGGGAGAATGCCAGTAGTAAATGTTAAAAATTAGCTCCTGGTCCTAACCAGAACTACATGCGCTACATATGTTAAAATTTGCTTTCTATTAATAAAATCAGTTTAGGGCTTCCCTGGTGGCGCAGTGGTTGAGAGTCCGCCTGCCGATGCAAGGGACACGGATTCGTGCCCCGGTCCGGGAAGATCCCACATGCCGCAGAGTGGCTGGGCCTGTGAGCCATGGCCGCTGAGCCTGTGCGTCCGGAACCTGTGGTCCACAACAGCGAGAGGCCCGCGTACCGCAAAAAAAAAAAAAAATCCGTTTATACTAGAGAGGCTTGTCCACTCACTTTGAATTTGCAAGAGAGTTGTCTTTGTTTTAAGCGGTGGTGATTGTGATTAGAGTACAGAAGCACTTACAGGGTGTGACTAATCCTTCCCTGTAATACTCATCCTGGCCTCGAAAATTCACCTACTGCATTAGCCCCACAAGCACAATGCCTTTGATTTTCTTCTGAGATTACTTCTGCTTTCAAAAAGGATAATTATGAAACCTGACTACGGCTTTAGGGAACCTGTTGTCTCAAAAATAGAGGAAAGAGAAGACTGGAGAGGTTACTCAAGAGAACATTATTTCTAAAGTTCAGTGAATTTCTTGTTCCAACAATAAATTGCTTGTTCTGAATCCGAACCCATTCAGAAGTTGTGCCTGGATCTGTGACTCTTGAATCTTTAATGTGGTGAGAATTAACTAAATGAAAAGAGAAAGTAATGAGGACTTAGTGATCCATATATGAGTCCTTTGCCCTATGAAAAAGATAAAATGTAGAAATAGTTAATTTTGAACGTATTTGATTTAATGAGACTAAAAGATGATCAATGTATGTGATAATACTCTTTACACTACATTGCTTTGTAATCTTATTTAAGCTTTACCAGCTACTAAAGGTGATTTAAAAGAATTTTCTTATTTGCTAGCTAATATAGTATATTCCCAGATGGCTAACATATATTTCAACACTTGCTATTTATTAAAGTAAGTGAGAGAGAGGCGGTGTGAACTAATGATAAAAAAATAAATACTTCCCTGGTATAAGAATATTTAGAAGCCCTGTAGGATATTGATAGGCAATGGCATTATCTGGATGTGCGTTCTTTTTTTTTTTTTTTTTTTTTTTTTT